GATTTAAATTTATATAAAAAACTAGTTTAGACTAGCATTTATTACAAATTTAAGTTGAAAAACTAGGCAATTATTTTAATTAATACCTATATAAATATTTAATAAATACCTTGCAGCTGCATAAGCACCTGCACTATCTGTAACAATAGCACAAACTTTAATGCCTAATGATTCTAATTCTACAATCATTAGTTCAGTTTTATTTATAACATCTTGATGCTTTTCGCGTTCAGAACTAATATCAACAGCCTTCCAAACATAAGGTCTCCCCTCAGATGACAAAATTACAGTTCCTAAAAGATACTCATTTTTCACATTAGTCTACTCGTCATATGTTAAAGTTATACCTACTGGATCTTTCTTCAGTACAGTTTCCATTTCTTTATTAGCATCATTAACAATCTCATTTAATATTTGATTACCTAAGGTTCTGCGGTCTAGAAGTACAAGAAGCGGGTTTAAAAACTTAAAACATTCTCTTGCTTCAGGATTATTAACCCAAGATAGAGACTACCCACAAGAAACTGTCATTTTAAGTAAAAGTTTATTAAATTGTTTGCAATCTTCTTTTGATAAAGCCCGAACAATATAATTATCTATTGGACCATAAGATTCTGAACGAACAATTGTTTTTCGAGATGAATTTAAAGATTGTTCATTATCTACTAAAATGATTAGTTTTATACTTATAAAAAATTATATTAAATTTAATAAAAAATTAATTACATAATCTTTTTTTTGTAGATAAATTATCAGCAGATGCGAATATTTCTGCTTGCTTTTCAGGTGTAGTTGCACTAAGGAAATTATTACATTTTATTAAATGTAATATTATCTGATCTTTCTTATTTGGAAAATAGGTTTTTTTCCCTTCTTCTTCTCCCAAAACATCAATACAGTATTTGCAGAAAGTTTGTACATTACTTTGATTAATTTTGATAGTTGTTTTAACAATACAATCGTTCAATAAAGTAGGCAAAGGTGGCATCGTTAAAAATTGGTAGAATGAAATAAAAAAATAAAAAAAACAAAATTTTAATTTATAGCTGCTGAATTGCTATTGCTATGGTTATTATATCAGATATTAAAAATATATTAAGATTTTTCTTTTTTAATTCCAGTTTATTTCACCAAATAGATCAATATTTTTAATATAAAGTTAATAGATCGAAAGATGGTCTATTCAATCACAAGCATGGCGTAGCATTTGAATTAGATCTTAGCAAAACAAGATTCTTGCCAAATATTGACAACACCTTAAGCCTGATATAGTTATAGAATTGATGATCTATTGTAATGCTATGTACCAATATACGTAATACATATAATCAGATGAGCTTATATCAAAGATTGCCTACTTAGGAAATAATACAGTAATATAATTACTAACTAAATTAAGGTAATTATATAACGATAAAACAATGGCATTCTTTGTCTATGGAAGACTGCTATCCTTCACTCTCGATATATAGTTAAATTAAATTAGAATATTAGTAGAATACTATATTTTTACAGTAATTGCAAAAACTTTATTTAAGATGAATTGAAATTAATTCGAGCCAACAGATCAAAAGATCTTAGCAGTAAACTAATGCATTTATGCGTACCTGATTGAACAAGCTCTCTACAAGATTAGTTATCTAATATCTATGAACTTTAATGCCTATGAACCTTGATGCCTACAAAAGCAAGATAAGTATAATTACTTATTGTATTTAGTAATATCTATTCAATAAATTTAATACGTACTATTTAGTCTACACATATAAATAATTTAAATGTTAGAAATATGAATTTATAATACAAAACTACAAGTGATAATATCTTTTTATCATAAATTCATATTTTTGATATCAATTTATTCAATTCAAATAATTAATTCATTATTTATTGTTATTGCGATGCTACATATCAAAATATATTTTATTACTGTAGATATAAATAGATTCGATATGAAGATCCCAATATAGCATATAATCAAATTTAATAAATACAGTAGAAGTGATCTATAAAATGGATAGAAATTAGCCAGACACCAAAACAACAAGAAAAGCAAAAGTAAATAACAAGAATCTTGTAATTTAATAAATATAATTCATAGAATAGTTTCAGCCAATTCCATCCTTTTCACTATATGGACTACTGTTAATAGTAATTAGACAGATTAGGGATAGATCAGGTCTTTGAAAGACCGAATAAGAATAAGTCTTTACTGGTCTCACAGTTATTTGGTCCCCAGTCCTGAGTCCAGTTCAGATCAATCTTTATTAATAGCTAAAAATTGCTAATTAAATTTATTAAAAAAAAAGTATCGATTACTGTTATATAATTTGATTATCTCTGCTAGCCAATAAGATGATTAGAGGCTTAAATAACTAAGGACTATTTTTGGGACTGAGACTAGATTGAAAACATTAATGGACCAGGCTATTAGGACCAGGACGGACCAGACTGGACTTGTCCATCCCTAAGGCAGATTGACATTTTTTTTTTAAAAAAAACCCCTCTAACTTTAAAAGTTTTATCTCGATAAATTCTGAAGCTATTTAACGATTTAAAAGTGAAAATAAAGCTCAAGACTTGAGCTTTATTTTTACTTTTAAATCATTAAATAGCTTCAGAATTTATCGAGATAAAAGCTTTTAAAGTTAGGTATTATTTTTCTTAAAATGTTAATCTTCCTGGTTTCTATTGATTAGAATTTACTAAATAAAATAGAAGTATCCAAGAAATACTCACCTTATTATAAATCTTAGTTAAATTGGTATTTTTCTTGTCCCTGTAAATAAAAACCCGTAACTGAATTTAGAGAAAAAATCACAAATCATTATAACTTATATATTGAAATCATTAATATCATTATTCATGCTAAAATTTGATCACATGATATTATCTCAAAATGTGATCTCGAAAGACCGATAGCAAATTAAAGCCCTGCTATACTAGAAAACCTAGAAGTAAGAATTATCATTAGTAAGAAATGATAGTAATTAATTTTTGTATCAAGCATTGAGTAGCAGACTATAATTATACTTTAATGTTCAAAAAATAAAAAGAAATACATAATTATTGTTCGTGTGATAAGTATTATTATATGCTGCTATAGCCTATGTTAGAAATATATAAGTATCATTATGTCAAACAAATCGTGATTCTATTTTATAAAGTGAAATCAGGCAGTACATTTTTATTTTAAGCAAATAACGTATGATATATAGAGAATTATTGAGATTATTTTAATATTGTTTATAAATCGCTTTATGAGTTACGAGTTTTATAGAATGTTTTTTAAGTTTTAATAGATAGTTTACAAGCCTTATTATATAATGATAATTTCTTAATAAATTGTACTATTCTGACTGCACATATGTTTAAATATATGTGATTTTAATAATTCTGCAATTTTATTGGTCCATTATAATAAATTTTTAATTTACCCTGCGGACATGTCCCGGACATAGTAGGGACACAGCAAAAATTAGTAGGGACAATGTCCGCGTACAATGCTATACTGGGACATCACTGCGGATATGGGACATGGGACATTGTCCAGGAATGTCCGTGTCCTAGCAATATTCATGGGACAACGTCTGTGTACAACACTGTAAATAGGTATAGTTTAGATCTAGATTTAACTTTGAAAAGTCTATATAATATGAAATAGATCTTTCTTAGTTTAGAATAATATAGAGCAATTTTTCTCTTTTTGTATTATGATATAATATAGATCTATTCTAAAAGTTGTAGATCTTTTTTTCAGTATTTATATAATATAAACTAGATATAATATAAATTAGGATTAGCAAAAGATAAAAAAGAGGCTTCTCGATTTCTAAAAAAGACTTCTTTAGAGATTATCAGAGGTGAAAAGAAAGGTTTTTTTAACTTTAAGAAAGGTTTTTTTAGGACTTCTTTAAAGTTTCTTTAATTAATTATCCTTCCGGGGGTGTTTCTTTGTTTTTCCGCCAGAAGGCACCAAAATGTTACAAGTATCAGCCTTCTTGATTTAACACAAGTAACATA